AGCCTGGCTGCGTGGAGAAAGAAGTCATTGGATGACCCATCTGCTGATCCATTGGAACGTGGTGGTAAAAAATAGGCTGTGCGCCTGTAGCCACGCTCGCGTTGCTGTTGTTGCTGCCGTTGTGACTGTTGCCGCCCCCAAGGTCACTGTGCGAAACAAGGGTCGGGGTGAGGCTTATCTGCGGCGGCGTGAGGGGCGGGGTCTGTTCTTGGCTAGAGGACGGGGAAATCGAAATGCTGCTCGTGAACGGCAAAGGCACGTCGGCATACCCGTTCGTGAGTTGCATGCTGGAATTCAGATGGCGGTGCCCTTTTGACGGTGGCCGCGCGCGACTGATGGGTGGATGCGCCGATGACGGGTCGAGCGGGACGGGCGTCGCAGCGGCGTCAGCGAGACGCGCCTGAAGTGTTCGTCCACCCAGCCAATGGCCATGCAAATGCTTGATGCACTTCACAGCGGCCTCCTCCTCGAAAAAGAGGGCGAAGCCGTAGCCTTTCATTGGACGGCACTTGGTGTCAATGCACAGCTTCGACGCCTCAACACGACCAAAGGCCTGACACATCTCCCGGAACTCCGCTGCGCGAAATGTTTCCGGCAGACCGGAGACGTACACGTTGCGTCGCTGAAGCGAATTTCCCGTCTCTTTCACTGAGGGAGCTGCATTGACTGCACTGGAATCCTTTACATGCTGTGTCTCTGGCTGTTGTTGTTGATCCAGCAGCGGCTGCGGGTCCTCCTGGTGTTGGTGTTGCTGCTGCTCCGGTGCCTCTTGGCTCGAAATGCGGGGGGTTTTCACGTCGAAGTCCATTTCGTGCTTTGTTTTTCCTCAACCAAGTGGAATGGATGATGAAGCGAAAAGAAAAAGAAAAAAAAAAGCGGATGGCTATAAAATCGTTGGGTAATAAACCGTCCGGTGGATCCGTTTTTATGCGTGTAAGTAAGCACCTTCTATTGACATTGTGGGTAAAGAAAAGAAGAGGAGATGGCAAAATAAAATTAAAAAAAAAGAAAACGGTTTATTTCAAAACTACGGCACATCAGAAACGTATGCAAACACACACACGCACACACACAAGAAAAAAAAAAAGCCACAATGAAACACAGACGAAATATAAGTGTGTGTTTATGTGTGCAAGGGGGGAGCGGAGTGTCCACAGAGGAAGTGGCGTTAAAAATTTCCCTCCCGGTCATTGTGAAAGACCGCAAAAAGAAAGCCAAAAACAAAAAGAAATAACATAAGTAAATGGAAGGGACATACAAGCAAACCCCCAAATTCACTTCATGCATCTCATATATATATATATATATGTCTTCATCCATGAGGATAACGGCAAGAAAAAAAATGCAAGGGGGGGAAAAAAAAAACACAAATGCGTCATTTCTCCACCGTACCGCCCGCCTCTCCAATAAGACACACAGACACAAAGAGAGAGATAAAAATCCTCACAAGAAATCATATATAAAGTTTTCTTCCTGAATTGCAGTTTTTCTTTTATTATTATTTCTTATTATTGTTATTTATTTATTTTTTGTTAATTTTTGCTGCCTTCTCCTATGGAGCGTCGCAGTGAACTTTTCGACCCCTCCCCTCTGCTAAGACGTGTGCCGGAGGTAGATCCTGGGTCATTCGCTGTGCCTCCGCCAAGGGACATGACATGAGCACCGCGACTCATGATTTCCAGCTGTTGAAGCAATGACTTCACCTTCTGAGCATCCGCACTCACGTCACGGACAAATGCACTGAGCGCCTCCTTCACACCAGCCAGCTCCTTGAGCGTCAGCGCCACTTCCTGGCCGTTCGCCGCTCCACTCCCCGCCGCCGGTGCCTTCTCACGTCCCGGCCGTGTGGCACATCCCTCCTCGTCCATCCCTGAGACATCTTTCTGTGCACCAGCCGCAGCGTCCTCCTCCCTTCCGCCATTCCCCAGGGAAAGAGAGTCCTCCTCTGGGAAGAAGCCAAGATCACCTCGCCGAATCCTTTCATCAACATACGACTCCTGCCCGGTGAAATCGTTTGGGTCCTTGCGCCGCAGGTAGTGCATAAAGTAGAAATACATCCACATGTTATGCTCATGCACTACATGCGCCCTGAATCCTCCGACATGGGCCCTTTCAAATTCGTCTGCCTCCAGGCCACACACAAAACATGTGCTTTTCATGTCGAGCTCCTTCTCACGTTTGGCGTCACGCAACTCGCCAAATGTGTCAATGATGAGACCAAACATGATGTTCAGAAACACGACATTAACAAGAGCAAAGAAAACCAAATCGTAACTGACACGTGGAAAAAGAGTGCTACTCGACCATGACTCCTCCTGCATGATGTCGCCAACACCACCACCCTGTCGAAGTCCCTGCCAGAGAATGAATAAAAAGCACCGAAAGAGATTGACGCAGTTCCCGTTTTCTGGTCCATCCGAGCTGTCAAACTGCCGCGGAAAAAGAAGGTAGCCAACAATGGCAAAAAGGTACAACACGACAACCCCAAGAAAGGCTGTCAACAGGAGCTGTTTCCCATTCTGCGTAATGGCGTTGATGAAGGTACATAGGGTGGGCACTTTGTAGATAACAAAAAGAAGGTGGGCGGCAGCAAAGTACCGCGACACCAAAAGGCTCAACGCCGCCGTCACAACAAGAAAAAGACGAAACTGAATCGTAAAGCGTGTAAGGAAGTGGTACACCACTTCTCCTTTTGTTAGTCCATCAAAGACCTCCCGCATCGTCGCATTCAGCTTGGCAATTCCCAACCTCATGTGTTCTTTCCGCCTGTACTCCTTGTACAGGCATGCAGGAAAAAACACGACGGCGTCCATGCATAAAGTCACACAGGAAAGCACAAACTGTAGGACGCAAAGACACGTGATGGCGAGTTCTGAAACTTGCACCGTGGCCCAATCCCACTTCGCCCCCTCAACCGAGATGAGTCCAATGTTAATAAGCACTGCGATTAGGATGGAGGCATATTCGTAATAAGAGAGTTGGGAGGAAAAGATAAATGGCGCCATAAAACGATTCCAGCACTTCTTTAACGAGTAGAATCGAACCTTTTTTTCTTCCATCACCCCCTCCGTATCCGTTTCATTCTCCTTCTCTACGGCGGTGTCGGTGGTGGTCAAAGTAAATCGCGTCCACCGCGCCACCCAGCGCTGAAAGTCATGCGCCCTCTCCACCTCAAAGATCAAGTTATCGCTCTGATGTAAAAAATCGCCCAACTTCGTCGCCCGACTTGTGCGATTGACGCTCCAGAGTACATCGTCCTTAATGTTCTGAGAGAGTCCGCGACAAATTGAAGGGATGCAAAAAAAGACCTTCTCAAGCAACCCATCGTCCCGTCGTATCTCAATACGGCCAAGACGCTCCCTAAGCCTCGTGGTGCGACGCAGCAACTCATCAATGTGTTGCAGGTAGAGCCCATCCGCAAAGGGCCGCACAATATGAAGAAAGATGAGCCAGTTGAAGAGTGCCGCAACAGTCGGATCATCCTCAAGCGTCTCATCCTCAAGAATACGATCGCACATCTCCGGGGTAGCGATGGAAAGCTGGTGTTCAATGATTTCAATGGGAATCTGTGCAAGAACACGGCGGAAGGTTTCAGGGGAGCGGCATCCTTCAATAAGAGACAACAGAAATGTGGTGAGAGACACGCGGAGGCAATCAACTGCCTTTCTGGTAAGCTTTAGACCACGTTGCGATACGACACCGTTCATGAAGCTTTCAGTTAACCTTGTACCATTAGTATTAGTAGTATTGGTAATGCCCATTTCCGTATTCATATTCCTCGAGTTGTTTTCTGGGGCCGTCCGGGTGCCAATGATCTCCAATTTACTCAACACGTCAAGAAGACCGCACATCGTCACACAAACATCGTAGCTCAGCAGCGCCGTCTGGTTTTCGTGGCATGGACCCTGGCATAACTCCGTTAACAACTCAAAACCCCCACGTATCACATCGACCGTGGCACCGTGCGTCATTCCAGAGAGCTCTGCGAGAAGCAACAGGACCTCATGGACAATGTTTACACTATGCATATTATCGTGCTGGAAACGAATATAATTTTGCATGCCGAGGTTGTGGCCTTCGCAGAAAAGTTGCAGCATGCGGAACAAGGCGTGGAGAAGTCGCAACCGCATACAGCCTTCTACACGATCCCAACCCAAAATGTGTTTCTCTTTCCCACCATTGCGTTCACTTTTTTTCCGATACGAGGATGATTTAAGTACCGCGGCAAACAGCGCAGATGTGAAAAGTGTGGAGTTGGAGCCCACCGGAGTCCCACCACACTCCAAAATGACAAGCTGCTGCTGCAAGTTAATTTGCCGCACCCATTGTAATGATTTTTGCAGCAACTCGCGAATGTTATGGAAAAATCTTACTTGGTGTGCTCCAAAGTCTTTTAAAAGTGCATACTGTGCCCGTGTGTTGCCACCCTCAAGGAGCATCACACTGAGGCGAATGGAACTGTACGTAATCACATCATCGTCCTTTACACTCAGTGATGCAACCACATTTGACATGCCAAGGTCCGTGAAGGTAAGCTGCAGAAGATTCCAGGTGTCCTCCCTTTCCGTGCTGTTCTTCCCTGCACCTTCTGCCGCCTGTAATGGCGGAGATTCCTTGACATAGAAACTCGCATACAAAGCATTGTAGAAAAGGTTCAAAAGGCCTACAAGCGCCATGGGGCTAAAGTATCGCTTTCGCATGCCATCCAGTGCACTCCAAACAAAGCCACGAACACCCGACAGAGCAGAACTGCGACAGAGCAACGCATTCACCACATTTGCGGCTTCGCCTATTTCCAAGCTATCCTCTATTGGAATCAATACATCGCTCTTAACAAATGTACGAAGGGCACTGCGTGTAGCCTCCAACTCACGACATCTCGATACACCACTGGAGAGAAATAGTCTCGCAGAAAAAGAATCGCCAAGAGAATCCTGTATGCGTTGGGACACGCCCTCCCCAATAGCGAGCGTGTCATGTGGGCTTGAATATTCGTCAAAATCACTGCTGCGTGCCCTCTCTTCCCAGCCACCACCTTGTCCTTGTCGTTCCGCTTTGCTTAACCTCTCGCGCTGGAGCAGCCAGTGAAGAATTTGGTCGCGGACGATCTCCAATTGACTCGAGAGGGTTTCCAATCCAACAATGTTAGCAGTCTGCATATGAAGCAGGCCCAGAAGACGGCGATAGTTCACAGCCTCTTGAACACTCAACTCAAGGGCGTCCGAATTTGAAATAAGATTGGAGGAAAATTCCATGAGGCTGCTGCACATGACCGCAAAGGTGACTCCCACTGAGTCCTGATATCGATAAAAGCCCGCCTCTGAAAAGCATGCGGAGAAAAATGTCAGCAATGCGACGGGTAACGACATAAGCCATACATGCCGGTAGCGTTGTATTACACGAATCCCTCGGTTTACCACCTTCCCCTTATTGGTTAAAATAAGCTCCGTGATTCCGTGCAACTGTCTGGTTAACATCTCCACAACGGCCCACCACTCGCGGTTTGCCATCCACTCCAACTTAATCATCTCCTTCCCCTGGCCACCCTCCTCCCTCTCAGCGGTGATGTACAGTAGGACAAGGGCACGTAAGTATGTACCCACAAGCTGGAATTGTTTTCGTTCCAATTCGTCGCGTTGATGGTAACTTTTGCGGTGCAGCGGGCTGTAGAGGGAGCCATACTCCAAGATGATGGCAAAGATATCTTGCATCGGAAGGGCTCTCTGTCCCATCGCCAGCGCGCTCGTCGGGCAGTTGCAGATGTGACAAAGCAGCTCGACCATGGAGGCGATAAAATCACATCGCACTGGTGACACCTGAACCCCACCAGGGCGCGGCAAACAACGGAGTATATTGTAGTCGCGTAGAAGCTGCATCATACGTCGCCGTGGCACGCCGCCCACGGCGGGATTGGAAAACACATAATTACTCAGCCGCGAAAGAAAGTCCACATCTGCGTGACGCGTCGACACCTCACTATCCAGATATTTCACACATTCCGTGAGGAACGTGTTACTGAGGTATGGGGTGGGATCGGCGACGGAAGCAAAGATGGCGACAATGATGTGAAGACACATGACGGTGCACTCCTTTTTAAGGTTAAGAGAGCGCATGAACAAATCAATGCTTCCCAGCAATTTTCTTGCGTTGCCTCGCACAAACGTAAAAAGGTAAAAGAAACGCATCCATTGGAAGAACGCTCGACTGTTGGGATCAATGCTCGCGTGCATTCGCATGAGTGGAATATGAATACCCCAATGACACACCAATTCCATGCGGACAATAAGACGCAGCGGCAATTCAGAATTCTCGCTGAGTCCGACTGAACGGCGGCGACGGCGCACCGCATTATGGTACGCTAACACACGCACAGCCCCGGCAGTTTTTCCCCAAAGATGACGCCCGCCGTGTGCCTCCTTTCCAGCCTGATCTGCACCAGCTCCCCCATCATCACCACCAGCCTCATCATCACTGCCATCATCCTCAATCAAATATTCCTCCTCCAACTCTTCAGAAGGAACGGAGTCGTCGTGTGTTCCCTCAGGTTCCTCAATATTCGAGAGGGCAAACGCGATGGCCTCATCAAAGCATCCACGTCGTTCTAACGTGAGGGTGTTCACAGCAACGGTGTAGAGGTGGTCAAAACTACGTACAACCTCAGAAGAGGGTAACGTATGCACCTGCAGCACACGGTGCGCCACGGTTCGCTTCACCACACAAAGGCGAATCAGCAACTCTGTTGCCCGTGCTGTTAGTTGCTGGCTTTCATAGCGGGTAAGATCCATGAGCAGCGGGACAAGTTCCTTCACGCGAAACCGCAACATGATACTTTTACACACACGTCCCAACAGCTCCACAACCTCCTTTGAGTCGATGCGGTTACTGTCCATCTCCTGCGCCTCATCGGTTATGTCAACAGACTGATATTTACCCCGGACTCGGTGGAGAAGGCCTGTGCCCTTCTCACATAGCAGGGCCTGCCCCTCGCTGGGCCACACATGCAAATCATATTTCGCGTCAAGGACGGGCTCTTCGTCAAAATCCAACAGAACGAACATTTTTCGGCGTGGAAAACTGCCACCCTTGACAAAGGCGTCGTAGAGGAGCAATATTATGTTGTCTGCCACACGGTTTGACACAGTCTCCAGGAGCTGAAGGAGTGTATTGCAGATCATCTCACGTGTTTCCATCACTTGCACGCTTGCCTCGGACACCTCAAGGCGTGTGAGAGTGTGCGCGGCGACCCTGCTGGCATTGTCGTCAACGATGTCCTTGGTGCCGTCCAGAAGGCCTAGCAGTGGGGGGATAAGGTCACACATCTCCTGCACAGATATCTGGTGGGCCTTCACCAACCGTAGCCATGCGTTTATCGACACGCGTAGCAGCACGCTTCGACTCATATCAGACTGTACAAAGTGTGGATTGGCACGAATGATGTTGAGCGCGGCCGCTTTCACTGAAGAAATGAGGTCGTCGTCAGGTTTGCCGGAGATGGGCAGATGCGTCTCCTCCCTCAGACGAAGAGAGCTGGAGCCAAACAGCACTGTACTCGCCCGCAACTGCACCGCGGGGTCGTCAATACGAGGCATGATGTAACACTGCACGGCAAGCCGCAAGATATGCCCGCGCAGCAGATCCAAAGGGCTGGGAGACCCCATCACCTCGGCGCCGGTCCAGACAAATGTTTGGATGGCCCTAAGCAGCACCTCTGGTGGGAACACCCTCCCCACCTCCGCACAGCACATGGAGGGACAGCCGTCAAAGCACAAACAGCCAAGCAATTGAATTTCACTCTGTAAAAACCTGGCATATTTCGCATCGGAGCCCAGCTGCTGCTGGGAATTCTGGGGCCGCGTCAATTCAAAAAGGGCACCGCACTCGACAGGAGCTTCACCCTCATTCACCACAACCGCCCATTCCCCATTTTGATTCAGCACAAAACGAGAAAGCAATTCGCTGTTTTCAACAAGAAGCTTCTGGCACACCATGGCTTGTCTCTCAAAGATACCGCTAAATCCTACGGTGCACATGGAGGACAATAGATTCAAATGACCTGCACTGCGTCCGCGGCGAAGAGATCCAATGAAGTGGTCCGCCACAGACTCCACAACTGGTCTTGGAACGCTGTTGTTTTCTGAAAACAGCTCCGTCATTGTGTCAGACACACGAAAGCGGTAACCCCCAAGTTCCAAAAAGTATGGGATGAATTCAACAAGCCACTTCTTCAGCATCTTTGCCTTGCGCACCATCTGACGTAAGAATCGAAAGGCGAGGCGACAAACAAGGTGCACCTCTGAATGTGCATCATCCAACGCAACGCCCATGCAAAAAAAACCACCCATGAGAGGCAACGGTGGCAATCGTGGGCTGCAGCCCCATGGGAGCATTCCACTCATGGTTTTATCCCCCATTCCATCCGTTTCCTCCGACTGTAGCAGGGAAAAGGGCGTGAGAATGACGTCCATAACAAGCCGGTGGATATTTAACTCAAATATCATCCGCTGACGCCGCACGATCGGAATACCGTCAAGACGGAGAGCGTCATGCACGCGAGCTAACGAACAGAAACGAATGAGTTCCTCCAAACTACTCTGAGAGGCATAAATGACGGGGAGAATCGCTGCGTACGGAGTCTCAGTAGTCCTCGTTTGACGCCCTAAACTGGAAACAGCAAAATCTGTCGAAAGAGCGCCGCCCTGCACAAATGCCGCCCTCGTAGGCGTTAAATTTTCCTCACATGAGTCGGAACTCTCGTGTTTTCCGGGATATGGTTCCAAGCCTCCACCATCCCGATGAAAAGACGGATGTCGCGAATTTTTTAAGCGTGCCAAAGCCTGGAAGGCATCACGATACCGGCAGAGTCTCTCGCAGTGTGACCTCAGAAACATGACATCCTGCACAATCTCTTGACGAGAACTCCGCACAGTGATGGTATCAGAGACAGATGGTTGCCACTGGAGAAAAAGGCGGTCTCTCGCCTCTTGTGTGCATACATACATTCCTGTTAACACATTTTGAAGCGTCAAGCAATCATTCTCAATAAGAAAGTTGCATTCGGTAAAAAACATGGGAGTTAACGTAAAGAGAGTGCGTTGCGAATCCTTCGCGGTGCGTGGTGGTGGTATCATACAGAGTGAGGCGGCCCTCAATTGATTCCGGCTACTGTTGCTGCCTGCATCACCGCCCTCTTCTAACGCCGCCGCGCCCATACCATCGACCGTTTCTGAAAAATCGCTTTCTCCATTACCTTCAAAAAATGCGTCAACACCAGAGCCAGCAACCGCCAAATACATGTTTGAACACGCCTGTCGAAGACGATACTTCACAGACCGCATGCGCACGGCACCCCCTATCGTTGGATTTTCATTCTCCAAAATCCAGAGGGCCGTGCAACTGCGCCAGAAGTCGTTTAAGGCAGTCCCTTCGTTAGAAACACAGCCCGTCGAAGTTTCGTCCTTCATCAACAACGGGAACGGTGTCCCAGTATGGTCAACATCACCGTCCGTATTATCATTTGCATCCGGCGTATCAAGGGTGGAGATGCCGCTCCCTTCTAACTGTGTGGCACTTCTCGATACAAAAACACCCTCCACAAAAGAGCTTTCTTTGTTTGTTAACAAGGCGCCGCCGCTTATTCCATTATCACCCCCACTCACAACATTCGCCTCCATTGTTTTTTTGTTCTCCTCAGATTCCTTTTGCTGCCTTGGCTGTGACGTGAGGCTTGTCGTGAGAAAACTTTCGCGCTCGCGGTGGTAAAGTAAGACTGGCACGCCGGATGGTACGTATGGCCGGGCAATGTGGTAAAGGGCACGTTGATAGTTTGCCTGATCCCTCCCAATGTCATACCGCTGCACCACGAAACCCACCGCCCTTTCCTCTGAGCCGTTTACTTCTGAACGCAAGTCATCGACCATTCTGCCGGCGGCCAAACCCTTTTCAAAAGCGTTGATGCTACTATCGCAGCCGTCTTCTTCGGACGGCATGCCCCATGTATTCAAGCCTGGATGTTTCCTTCCCGTAACGTGTACAAAAATTGGAAACGCAGCCAGTCGTAGGAGAACCTCATCGCCGCGACACACGGGATCCCCATCGTCATGAATTTTGTACCGTGGCGTCACGACAAATTCACAAAAGTCCGATTCAACCTCCCCGGCCTTCACAAGCACAAGCCTCACACAGTTAGGATCACTCTTGGATGGTTTTGATGGAAATACCGCCACGCACATCTGGCTGACGGAATGCAAAAGAAGAAAAGGTTTCCCATACATGAGCTCCGGTGCCGTGTTGATGTTGCTGAAGTGCTCCATAAGAAGCGTGTTATTGTTGCTAAAACGATCCGCTACCGCCTCTTGTGCCTTTGCTGCAAGGCTTGACGCGGGTGCTTCAATCCGAAAGACGCTGGTTTCAAACCCCAGCAGGGGCAGCGGCTCCTCATCGATATCGGTGTCATTCTTTTCACGGATGAACAGGTCCTCAGCTTCCAGTCCTGACGCAGCAATATATCCTTCCTCGCATGAGAAGTGGACAAGAGAGCCGTATTTAATTATGCGTTGCTTTCGATCCATCGGTAGAGGCACCCCCAACTTTTTTTTTCTTGTATCTCCCTAAGCCGCCCACAAACACACACACACAAACACAAAAATTATACTGCCTATATTTAATAAAGAAGCAACGACCGCTATTATGGATTTGATAATACCAATACTGATGCTACGGGTACGATCCTTATCGATACTGCGGTTGCTCCGTGACCGAGGGATGTCGTTTCTCACTCTCCCTCTCCCCCCGTTAGTTTCAGCCAAATAAAACGTCTTTTCTTTTTCTTTGTTGTTGTGGTTGTTTCCTTGTTTTTTGTTGTTTTTATCCAAATAATGATGTCATCACTCCAGAAAAACATGTAAAAAAAAAAAAAAGGAGAGCACACACGTACCCAGACAGACGGACACGTATTGCGGATTTATCGAAAGCAATTGCTGGTAAAAAAAAAAGGACTTTAAAAGGGAAAGAGGGGAAAAAAACACGCAACAATAATAAAAAAAGGCGCAAAGGGCATCTGCACCTTTTTTTTTTTTACATCTCGAACATCCTCCCCTTTGCTTCTCTCCGTGCCATTCACAAATGGAACGTTCATCGTAATCGTGTTTGTGTTATATATATATTCTTAGTGTTACCATCGGCCGGCTCATACAATGGAGCTGAAGTCTGCCGTTGCACCATGAAGCCTGTCTTCGCCAAGGGCCATGCTGCCAATCAAGTTTTGTACCTTATCGATGCCCGCCAGACGTAAAGAACTCGTAAGCATAAGCTCCTTGCAGTGTTTGTAGTGAACCAGCTGGCATCGGGTGTGATCTGCGAGTCGTGCAAGAAAACGAATAGGTGCGGCATCCGTTTTTGTAAGAACAACAGAAAAGGGCACAGCCAAACTCTCAAGATAATCCAAATATTCCGTGTCGGCTTTCTGAACCCCACGCGACGGAACGCACACAAAAACGCGTTTGATAGGACGTTTCGAATAAGATGCACGGTGCCCTACATCCCCATTTGTTTTCGTCCCCTCACTATTCCTCTTCTTCTCGGTAGAATGCTGAGCACATGTCTTGATGTATGCACGCATGACGGCGACAGCGTTCTCCGCGTCCAGAGCAGGGGTCTCCATTGGGTTGTAGTACCCGTAACCAGGGCAGTCCACAAGCATCACCTTATTGGCAACATTATAGAAGTTCACAGAACTCGTCGTGCCTTGCAGATGACCATATGGAGCGATCAATGCATTCAAGATGGCGTTGATGAGAGAGGACTTGCCGCTGGATGTTCTTCCCACAAAGGCAACCTCCGGCACACACCGCTGCGTCTCGCCCGACTCAATGCTGTCGCTACGACTGGTGGGACCGCCATCACCACCACCAACAGCTCGCTTTCCAGATGCGAGAAGAACGGGAAATTGTTTGATGTGTGTTGCCTTAGCCTCAAGCCGAACTGCACCACCAAACGCAAAGGTTTGCTGCGCCTTATGCGAGGCAGTAAAGATGGGTGCGGTGCCGTCGCCCTTCGTGATCCAATGCTCCCATGACACCCCTTTTTTGAGTCGCCTCTCGATGCGTCTTCCGTGGAGTCCCTTGTAAATTTCCTCGAGAATGCCGCGATCCAAGGGCCGCTGGCGAAGTTCTTGCCGAAACGACGTCCGTGTGGGCTGCAGAATTTCCTTCACGGCCCCCTCCACCCCAATCTCCTTCACGAGATTCTCCTGGCGTCGCAGGTGGCTTTTCGAGTCACGCCACACTTTGGTCAACGCCTCCTCCGTCGCCGTGCGAAACTGATGGAGCTGTTGCTGTCGTCGCAGCGTATCGGCAGCCTCCGTGTCCAAAAACTGCGCCACCCCCAAATTCAGACGTTTGCTTTCACGATACTCGTTGCGGTAGGGAGATGCCGCTGTAAAAGACGAGGGTGAGGGAAGTCCCGAAGGTGCGGCGCCCTCGACATGCGTCGGCCGCCCACCTGGCAGCCTAGGAATAATAATCTTTCCGGGATGACGCATCACCCGCGTGGTGCAAAAGAGATGCGTGTAGCTAGCGAGAGCGGTGGGCGCAAAGAAGTATGAGCCAGCGATCCCACATGCCATGCGTGGGGAGTTCCCGTTTAATCGTCTCCGCCTTTTAAAGTTTGTTTCCTCCTACCCTCTCCTACCTGCAACCGAGGACAGGGAACCAAAGAAAAAAAAAAAAAAGCAGAACGTAAAACGTTTCTTATTTTAGGGAACCGGAGATGAACGGGCATCCATCGAATAAAAAAGGCCAGAGAAAATAAATAAAAATAAAACCAAAAATAAAAAATAAAAAAAAGCCCAAATTCAAAAAAGATGGAAGATAACGTTCTATTCAAGTTCACATATAAAGATGTATGCATGTATAAATATCTGTATGCTCCATCACTGCCCTCCCCACTAAAAAATCAAAACAAAAAATCCAAACGGTGGGTCACCAATAAAACTTACACATTTCAAGGGTTTCTGCAGCCTACAAGAACAACCCACACACATACAAACACACACACACATACATAAATAAAAATAATAAAAAAACAGAGTGGAAACCCTAAAAGCAAAATTCTTTTTGTCTGGGAGTGATAAATAAAATAGATGCATGTGTATGAGTGTTTGGGTTTGTGGAGTTTGTTTTTTTCTTTTCTGAGGGTGCATGTATGTGAAGAAATAGCAGCCACGAAGAAATTGAATTCACGTGTTGAGACTCAAAAGGGGAAGTTGGGCTCCCCTCCAACACCTGTCACGGCATCTGCATTCCCGTCTGAGAAGTCTGACAGTTGTTTCCCAGCGGACTGTGCCATCCACCCGATGCGCCCGACGGCCTTGTAACCCTCAACAGGGAGCAGTAGTTGTTCCACGTTGTAAAGCAGCCTCCACAATTTTTTTTGCCCTTCCTGCCCACCCATCACTTCTACGGGCACGGAGTTGACATCAACCAGGCCACCCGTCTCTAGCAGGTCATGGGGCAAGTACCACAGGCTTCGCCCGCGGACGGTTTTCGGTGACTCCAATTCCGAGAATGAGTCCGCAGGCTCGGACTCGTGGTCGCAGGCAATAAGAGACGCCAGCTCTGGTGACGGGGAGTTCAGTATCGCCTCATACTGCAGCTCCGGTATTTTCAGCACCTCACCCGTCTTTCCGTTAATGGGCACGCCGGGGTTCTCCCGCTCTGCCTCAAGAACATTTGGGGGGATTCTATAATTTTCTGGAAAAATCACCTGCGAAAGGTGGTAGTATTGCGTGTACACCTCTACATCATGTGAAGTATGTGCCATGACACCGGGCCCGTTGTATTCGTATTCATCGAGAGGCGATAAATCGAGAGGTTCTGCATCGGGACGTATGGCGATCCTGGCAGACCGCAGCGAATTTCTCGAGAAATACAACGGGGATTCAAAGCCATGCCTCTCAAAATGTGACTTTACGAGAAAACAGAAATTAACAGCCAACTGGGAAAGGTCATTTGAGACACTCAATTGTCTAAGAATCCCAGTCTTCCCAGAGACAAAATAGTCCTTCAGCAGCTCTTTTCCACCAGAAAACATCGAGATGTGTACAAGTCGAGTCATTTTGTGAAAAGCTAACACAGATGGAACTGCCTTGGGGTCAAGGTGACATCCGCGCTTCCGCCATTGGTTGCGTGTGCCCCACCAGTTTGACTCAAAGCCACATGTCATTCGGCGATGTTCCAACTGCCTCTGTGCCTGGCCTTCATATGGCCGCATGGATGATACTGACGTTGCTGCTGTGGCAATAGGAAGCTGCCAGTGAGCTTCACTCTCGGGCAAAAGTTGATCCATGTTAAATAGATTCAAACTCATTGGAACCTGTGCAACCACCATGGGCATATTTTTCGCCACTCTCCTCTCGCCGCTGTTCTGTACACTGGTGGCGTCAAATTTCCAGTTAGGGCAATTTGATAGATCACTCTCGCTCAGCCACATTGGGTGGTGGCGAAGAGGATGATCCGGGCGCACGTGACGACTGAGGAAACCTTCCAAATGCGGCATCGCCGGAGTGAAGACAACACCGCAAGGCCTTGAACGCCGCATCATCCGTATTGCCGTTTTATTTGCGTTTTATTCCAAAGTTGTGCACGCGGGTCCCGCAAAAAATTATGTCTGTCAGAATGTAGACGTTAGAGGTGGGGTCAGCGTGTGTGTGTGTGGGCTGAGCTCTGCCTCTTTGCTGCGGCGGTGTGAGTCTCGGGGCAGATGTGCTCACTGCTACTCACCTCCCACCGCCACTGAAAAAAGTGAGAGCACTCTTTTCACTCCTTCTCGCCACCTCGTTTTTGTGTATGCATGTGTGTGTCAAAAAATGACGTCATTTTTTTATTTTAAAAAGAAGAAATGAAAAAGCATTGCTCAGTTGTGTATGCATCAATTGTTTGTTTGTGTGTATGTGTATACAGACGCATCTTCTGGCGGTGGTGATGCGCTTCTGCGGCGCTCCGTACGTGTCGTATTGGCGACAAACGAAGGGCAACATTGCCGCAGACCGTTTTTTTTTTCTTTTTTTTTTTGTTTTTTTGTTTGTTTCTTTACGCATGCATGTGTTCAAATAACAATCAATGCATCTTCTTTTCTTATCTCTCGTGTCTCTTCTCTTTCTTTTTTTTGTTTTTTGCTTTATGCTTTTTGTTTGTTTGTTTGTCTCTTCGGAGAGAGGGACGAAAGGGGTAAAGAAATTTTCCCCAAATTTAAGCTCTAAGCGTTGAGAATAAATGGATGTGTGAACGAATGTGTGTGTCGATGGGTATGCCATCATGCACGCAGTCTCGTTGAAGCTCACACACTCACACATAATGTTGCAGGCCTAAGGGGCACCAGCCAACAGCAGCAGTAACACACACACACATAAACAAACAAACAGAAACAAACACAAACAGGTGGAGGAAGAAGACGGACGAAAACGAAGTGTGACGTGGGAGGCGTCATGTTTTTTTTTTCTTGTTTTCTTTTTCTATGCATGGAGCCGCGGTGGTAACAGACACACGCACACACACACACACACACATTCTCTCTCTCTCTCTCTCCCTTCCCCCCTTCTCCTTCTGTCTCTTTCCATCCCTCTCTCTCTCTCTCTCCGTCCATCCTCTTTTTTTTTTCTCCCCTCGTCTCTTCAAGTTTGATTTTTGTTTTTCTATTTTATTTTGTTTCCCCCCTTCCATCCCTCCCTCCTTATCCCCCATCCCCCTACTCGCTCCCGCTGCAGACACAAGGAGAACAAACGTCAAGGAAGAGTGTGCAGACGACAAAACAAAAAAAAAAAAAGAGGTCAAAAAGGATTTAAAAAAAAAAAAAGGAAAGGAAAAGAAAGAGAGACGAGAGAAAAAAACAAAATCGAGGAAGGGCAGAGAGAGAGAAAACAAATAATAATAGTAATGGTAATATGAACAAAGAACTAGCGATGGGTAAAGTGAAACAACAGGCCATCCACAAAATAAAAAAGATTTTTTAAAAAAAGAAGTACGTGGCTGAAGGAACAACACACAAAAAGACACATAGACGGTTGTGCGTTAATTTCCTCCTCTCTATGATGGTTTGCCCTCCCCGAAAACTCTTCGTTTTCTTATTCTTCTTCCCCCCCCCCCTTTCGCCTGCACTCTCTATGACTTTTATTATATGTAATATATCTCTCCCTCCTCCCCTCCATTGAAGCATCAGCCAAATCACATTGTCCGTGTGTAAATGTATGTTCATCTTCCTTTCCTGTGCGTGCCCGAGTGTATGTATGCATGCATGTGCACAAATCATCTTGCCCAGAGCCAACGTCTGCGGCTACACTCTGCCTTTCCGCCATCTATATGTATATATATATATACATATATATATATATAGGTAAATAAATATAATTAATGTTCTTTTTACTAATGTTTTCTCCCTTCCTTTTATTTTCCCTCGTCTTACCCCATTTACTGGACAAAGAGACCGGCCTTGGCAAAAGCCTCTTCTGGGTTGCTAAGCTGCTCCACATTATACAGCTCAACCTGAAGCGAAGCACTGCCCTCATTTTTCAGTGGTACTCCCTTCTTCTTCTCGTTCTCCCTGATGGGCCACTGATATAACTCCGCATCGCGACCGCTCAGCCAGTAATTGCTCTTGAACTTTGGAAGCTTCTTCAAACTCTCATTTTGAATGGGTTCCCCAGAAAGAAGAAACGTTGGAATATTAACGGGGGAACGATCCAGCGTCTTGAGCGCCAGCTCCGGATCTTCAAGCTGCTCCACGTTATAGATTAGATACCGATCCCCTGATGTGACGTCTAGTGACACCGGTGTCTGGCTTGGCTGCACGGCAAGCTTAAAAAATTCCAGCTGGCGATTTGTAAAGTAAAGACCACTGTTGAACTTATTCTGACGGATATAATCCGAAAGAATTTGAAAAGCTTCGCCCTTCTTGCTGTACAACTTCCTCGATCCGCCAGAGACTGGGTGTGTCATCAGAGCCTCTCCACCAATCAGTTGGCTGGAGTGAAACAGTTTAAGCGAACTTTTTGTAAGGATGATGGAACTACGCGCGCCTCCCTTAAAAGTAAGGGAGTTCTTAATCGCCTGCGCCCTCGTGAGCCACCATTTGCTCTGGAAGCCGTGCTTCTGCGCACGGTCATTGAGCTCAAACTGCAGCTTCTCACCGTACATCTTTCGCGAGCTGTAGCTGCTGTGTCTTGGCGCCTCCATCACCTCCGGTGGGGAGAGGAGTTGGTCGAAATTAAAAAGCTCCAGTGGCTTGTCCAGCAGCAACTGCGTAGGGACAGCACCGGGCTCAGGCTGCAATCCATGATTCTCCACCTCCCAGTCCTCAATCCAGACATTACTTGGACTGCTGCGGGCCTTCTGATTGCTCTCGAGGATGTGATGTTGTTGACTGAACACAACGATGGTGCGCACGGCGCCAACAGCCTCGATGGAGAGCGGAAGTCGTCGAAACATTGCAGCTGCCCCTTCCCTTGATGTTGCGTGTAGCTCCTTGTAGAAAGTGAGGTTGGAGACACAGAGAAGTTTTGAAGAAGAAAAGGAGAAGGAGTTGTAACAGGAAGGCATCAACAGGAAATGTGGTGGGTGAGTACCGTCCCTCTCTCCCTTTTTATTATTTTTATTATCCCTTCGTTTCAGTCCTCTTTTCTTGTCTTTTTTCTTTTTTCCTTCCGCTTCTTCCTTCACGCTCTCAGGAGTCGCTGTAGTACCGCCTAAAAGCCGAGACGTTGAATGTGTTTTTCTTCTCCCTCCGGCGAGTGTGCCAACTAGCGTCGGGGTCACCCAGCCTGCCCACACGCCCAGGACGCGAGTACAACCCGACATGTGCGGAAGAGTCAAAGTGACGGCCCTGGCGATGCTCTGCGACGCTTCCGGGGTGTTGTGCGAGCCGCAGTACGCCCTGCAGACGATTCAAAGTGGGCGGCCGCTGACGGATGTCCATGAGATTCCACCTACGGCGACCGCGGATAAGACACTGCATGGACCCTAGAAGGAAACACACAGACACACTTCGGTATCTTATGACTTTTTCCCCGCGCTTTCTTCTCAGTCACTAGTCTGCTCGTCCAGCCGCTGGACCTGCATGAAGGGAGGAAGTGGTTATGGAGAGCTGCAGAAGACTTCTTCGGATAAAGGTTGTGGAAAACACAAGCAACAATAATAATTTAAAAAATCTTGAAATATATATATATGTATGGGTGGTTCAACAAAAACCGGAGAACCAAAACTTTGTGGTGAACAAAAACCCACACACAACCATATGCGTACACACACACAAACACAGGCACACACAAACAATACACATAGCATGTAATATAATAATAATGTATATTTCCACGCAATCGAAGTGAAAGCCACGCAACAAGAAAGTAATGCACACAAGAAGGGGGCAATAAAATCAAACTATCGGTTCCGCCAAAACTCCCAAGCGGTTCGGTGTTCGTTTTCCAAACGGTGCAGACGTGAAAGCACCAATCCACTGACAGGGACGCAGTCCGACAGTCCCTCGTCTGCGGCTTGCCGCGCCCGCATCGGCTCCTCAATCGCTTCCCTGTCCATCTCCTCAACGGTGTGGAGATACTTCAAATCGTCCAGCAACGCCTTTACAATGCGGTCGTACCTCGCACACCGCTGACTCCACAGTGCAGCATCCCCCTGCTGCCCCAGGGAAAAAAGATAATCTAGCGGTGGCCGCACGTTTTGCTGCGCTGCTCCCAAAAGCTCCATGGCACTGTTTTTTATCGGCCTCAGTGATTGATCCCATACACCTCGCACAACGGGGTCCAATAGTGACTTTTTCACCCTGCTTCCCGGTGAAAAACACTCTGCCAAACAATGCCGCAGAACCACAAGGTTGGCAGCAATGGACCCCATGTTCGTTGGTCGCACATCCAAGTAGTTAAAAGAAATTGCATTTGCCTTGTAGGAGGATTCCTGTAAACTGGGTAGGCCGTCGTCTCGAGTGCCACCGCCCCCATTGTAGTTTTCATCACCAGCCCTTTCAGCCTTTCGACCCTCATTGCCACCGCTTCGGAGCCGCTGCGGCGACGGAATCCGTGATACTAATGTGTTTTTGATAAAGGACGCAACACCACCTCCGAACCGGGAGGGAGAAGAGGAACCACCGCCGTGGTATGTCGTCAGAAAACGATCTACATCCGTCTCTATGCGGATAAGGTACCGCTCCGTGATCTGCTGCTTGGCTGACAAATACTTCTCGTAGCGAGTCTCTAAAACCTCAAGCAGGACGTCGATATCCTTTTCCGTCAGCGTTTCCATGTTATTTCCATTAAGAGCAACCGAAGGTTGAGCATTATTGAACTCACCTTTTGCTGCGGCTTGTGGCAGCACCGGCGCCGCCTTCTGCTCGCCTCGGTTATTAGAAAAGTGTGACTGCGAAACATCGACTTTTTTATGCACTACTGGCGACACTGCCGTGGCGTCACCACCGGCATTTCCCACACACACACCATTGTCCCTGTGGTGGTGGTGATGGTGGCGGCGGGCGAGCCTGGTCTCGTACAGCCCTGTGGAGTGCCCAAAGACCGGAACGGGCCGAAGAGCGTCCGCCGGATTTGACGGCAACGCCACGATGGGGGGCAGTTCCCCCAGCATCCCTCTTCACGCACTGTTCCTCCCCTCTCCTCCACCTATTTTCTTGTTTTTTTTGTGTTTTCGCAGCCCCGCTAATGGTTTGCAAGGGATGGAGGGAGACAGAGATGGAGAGGCATGCACCAGTAGAGAAAAAAGATTTCCGGGCGGCTGGCCAAATCCTGAGTTTCTCAATCATAGAAAACAAACCAGATAAGAATGATAAAGGAATGAATAGAATAAGAATGGATCCATCATATCCTCAAAGTTTAGCAACAAGTAAGTGTATATATGTGTATATACATCGTCCATTAGCCACAGTTGTGGCCCGCTCACCCTATTCGGATGCGATACATATATATTTATTACTTATTTATTACTTACGAAGTGGCAGACTTTGGGATCCTGCAGACACAAGACCCCGCTGCAAGAAGAGAATCAAAGGAGTATGGGTGGCATGGCAAAATAAAATGAAAATTAACCAGCCGCTATCGGTTTCCTGATACCCCAAAGTCGTGTTCTTCCAAAAATTCATATGGTAGAAAAGCGTAGTAAAGAAATGTATTCGTTGTATCAAGGTACATACATGAAGTAAGTTCGCCAGCTCTCCTCTTCGATCGTTCTCTTCGCAAAAGCTCCTATAAGGAAAAACACATTTGATCGGCAGATTCACACATAAAAAAAAAGAAAAGGCAAGCCGCAGAGGCGGAGGATAAATCATGTGACTATTGCAGCTGAATAATCTCCTGTGCCACACGCCTCATAATTGCTGGTGATGAAGCAACCCGCGGAACCAGTCCTAAACACGCCACATGGGCCACCGGAAAACGACCGGTGTACCTCAACGCGACAAGCCGCCAGTCAAGCTCTTGTCGCAGCGCCTCAGCAATGGACTGTGGAGAACCGTGGGCGGCCAATTCTGCATATTCGCTCTCACTTTCTTGTCTTTCCTCGCCCACACCTTCGTGATACAAATCCTTCAGCGTGTGCGTTGGAGTCACACTCCCACTTCTCTCACGCAACCGGGGTAAGTGCATCACCGCGGAGTACTCAGAGTTTTCCTCCGAAAAGGCGGAGGCACACGGCAAGGCTTCCGTCGCCAACCCCACAATGCGAACAGTGTCGTCTCTGGCACCACCATATAACAAGGAGGACGTCGCAAAGCCCACCAGCATGTCCTTCTGTGTATTCGCAAAAAGTGTTCGTCGTCGAAACAGACGGAGTGCCGCGAGATGGCCCCTGTCAATGAGATGCGTCGACAACACCGCCTCGCTGTCCTTGAGGAGGAGCTCACTCAGAGACGGTGCGCACAGCACGGCGAGAAACCATGTTCCATAGTACATGGCGGAAAGAAGGCACTGTCCCACTCCGCAGTGCGGCGTCGCAATGGTGATGAAATTCTCAAACGTGACGTTTAATTGCACAAGTTTCTCACGCACGCATCGGACCTCGTCAAAGGGCCCATCGTCCAACTCATCCCCCTCCACGGCAACAAGCAGCAAGTACAAAAACTCCCGAACAATGATCCCACCGAACGAGTGTCCCACAACAGAAAAGCAGACGGGGCAATTGCCCCCCTCCTCGTTTTCTTCCACCGTCCTCAGCCAGTCGCCAAACACGGGCAAAAACTCTTTAAGAGTCCGAGAGGCGCAGGTGCGTGTCCTCCAATTCGTGCCCTTCCACCGGTTGCTGCCAGGGGCAAAACACGTCAGGCCTCTCCAAGCAAAAAGTCGACCTCCGGCCTCGTTCGTCTTGCAGTTCGGTCCCAGTGCTGAGGCAAAATCCCCCAGTGTCACTTCACGCAGGTGCTCATCATGGGTTTTATGGCAATTTCTTTCATTTTCTTCAAAAACACAACGTATGAGAGCGTCAAAGTCTGCGGATGTTCCCCAAACGCCGTGCTGAAAAAGAACAAAGTGACGGCGGTCGCCAGGACCACCAGCAGACATGACAAGTAAAGAGCAGCGCGCCTCTCGGATTGACGTCCGTCACACCGCTCTACATCTATTGACCGGCCCCAAGAAGAGTAAACAAGAAGAAAAAGAAACAGGAAGAGACCATAATAGTTGAATATATTAATAAAAAAAAAAAGCAAAAAGCACCCTCCTCCTCTTCATCGTATGAATGCAGACACAAGAAAGACATATTCCAACAGGTATACATCACAGCAGTGAAAAACATTTGACTGAACCCATCGCAAATTAATCGTATTTTATTCCAATAATGATGGAACCTTGGTGCTTAACAATTACAGATCCAGAAACCTGGCTGTTCACACGGAAAGAACATGCTCTTTTCCCCTCATCAAGGTCTTCACTATGATATTATTTCTGATTCCACGGCACACATTTTCGGCAAACGGAACAGATTCCCTCTTGCACAGCATCCATCCCCCAGCGAAAGGCCGAGGAAGGCGGAACGGGTAAAATGTAACCACGTATGGCGCATGAATCACACAGACGAATCTCCATTGCCGCTGTGTTCGCCCCACTGCAACGAGCACATTCGCAGAAAAAACGGTAAGAGGAAAAAAGCGTGCGACGGCGCTCTGCGGTCGAAGTCTCTTGAACATCCACGTAGCAAATGGTGAGGGGCTCACCCTTCCGTATCTCTCGAAGAGCATGAAATGCTGCAAGAATTCCACGATATGTGACTCGACAGATATTTGGGCAACAACTGTGATTGAAATACGATGCTTCCGGATAGAGTGCGACGCCAATGCAGTTACCGTCCGCGTTAAACAAACCAAAGCTGTTGCACTGCAATGCAGCACACAGGCGATTAAAGAAGGTGGCTGTAACAGTCAAATTGGCCTCGGTACTCCCACCTTCACCCAGCCAGGGAAGAATCAATTTTGTAAAGCGGCGATAGGCACAACGAAACTTACTGCGCGAGTCTTTGCTCAGCATTGAAAGATTTGTAACTAATCGGGCCGTATCACTCCATCTTGGTGGTCGAACGGCATGTGTTTCCTCTTTCTCCTCAAATACACCTAATGACATGTTGCTCCTCAGGGAGAAGTAAAGCTGCGACGCCGTTTCTGGGTCACGGAATTCGTTGCCACCCTCAAGAGCTTTGGGATCCAGAACTTCCACCACACCACCGCACTGCAGGCGAGCCATACGAAGTATTTCCACCTTCTGAGGTACCGCACAGTCCGTAGCGATCAACGCAGCTGCCCCTGATAACTGAGATTCCGCGTCAGTGGTAGCACCGCTGAGTTTTCTCCCATTCGTTAAATTTAAGGGTGTTTTATTCTTTGAAGAGACAACACAAACGACTTCTCGTTCCCCCTCGCTACTTTTGCTGAGATTAACCGTGGCGGGCATGGCTTCCGTTTCCTCTGCCATATGACCAGCAAACCCTTCCCTTGCACAGTGTGCCACCAGCAATGCATTCAAGAGTAATGTCTGCATCTCCCATGCTGCCTCCTCGCCTGTTCGCCTAAGCCAATGCTTTGTACTCCATGAATCAGGGGAAAATCGTTTCTTGTCTGTTGAGTTTGCATTATCACCAGCACGTACCATAAACGTCTTCATGAGTACTGGATACACGCGGCGCAGCGTTTGACACGTACCTGAAGCTCTGTGCAAATTGTGATGCTCCGTCCAACATGCCCTCGAGCAGTACACAATAACACCACACCCGGCGCATCCACACACGCCTTGGTTTGTTACACCCTCCGGAAGACTATGTTCCCCTTCCACCACACGTTCTGGCCACATGACTTCCTGTGCATTATCCATCTGCATTGCCTTCACATGATATTCGTGCATTGCTTTTTCATGCCGCCGTGCGGAGGCTTCTGACAGCTTCTTCTTCAGATTCACGTACAATTTGGAGCGCATCCGACCAGACTTAACAGTTTTTTGCAACTTTTTAAGTTGCCTATCATCTCCCGCATCAATTTCCCCGGAAACCTCCATATCAGCATCCACGTCAACGGCTTTTGCTTGTGAAATTTCTGTATCTTCATTCAACCACCTCTCCATCTCATAGTTGGCGTGTTCTGCAGCAATACAGCCGGAAACCCATCGAATAGTCTCATAATTTAGGAATAGGGTACCTTCCGGAATAAGTTGCAGACAGTTACAACAGAGTGTTGAATGGGGCAATAGAGGCAAGTATCCATTTGGGATTGAGGCTGGAAAAGAACCATTTTTCCTTGTCCTCTTTGTCATCGAGTTGCTCGCCGTATTCGTGCTCCCGGTGGCAGCCACCCACTCGTCCACCTTGGTTGCTATGGACATTGCACTGGGCATTTCATTCGGGTTCATCGCCACGGCATACGGGGCAGCAATGAGGACAAGTTCACCGGGGCTGATGTCGGCCTTGGCTACCGCGTAGCGCCCTGCGTCAGAATTTGGGTCGGAAGAATGTACACACTCCACCAACCGGTCTTGCGGTGCCGCCGGCATAACCGTGACGGTAGCAGTAGTGAGTGTACTCCTACTTTTTTGATAGTTCCCTACGCCCTACAAATAATAATAATAATATCAAGGCCATGATAGAGGAATAAGAACGATACCATCCATTCGTCATCCAAAAAAAAAAAGGAAGGAAAAAAATAAATAAATAATCTTGCATATATATATATGGGTTGCAAGATTTAAAAAAAGACGGATTAGAGACGCCCCTCCAAAAGAAAAAACAAGGTTTGCGCGTCCCATTTCTCCTCCCAGAAGTCAAACCACGCCTTGCTGATGCTCTTTCTCCACCCGCCCAAGAATGACACCCTCTAGGGCAAGACGCTTTTCCCAATTCTTTTCACGATACGCCCGCACATGCACAGGAAGCTCCTCTTTTCCCTCAAGAATATAGGGGCATAACTTACTACGCGGTGAGGTATCCATCTGCCTAATCATGTTCAACAGGTACTGTGGATCACCTTCCCATAGAGGCCGACCTGTATGGTGGTAATAGCCGCCAAAGGTCCCAACGATAATTGCAGGAAACGCCAAAAAAGCGGCTAATTTAATATGATGACGGCGAAACTCCTCGGGATGATAGCGATACTCTCGGTGAATCCGTTCACTCATGTTCTCCCTCTCACCCTTCGTCATGGCGTCGGCACTCCACGAGTCACGTAGTTGCTGCATCCCCCATGGGGAGCGCTTCTTGACTTTGATAGTCGGCAGCGGTTTCCGACTCGTCTTGTATTTGACTGACGCTCCGCCACTATCCGTGCGTTGCCCGGGGCACTTCGTTTTATTTTCGTTCGATCTCACCGTACCGCTGTTATCAATGGTTGGCTGGTGTCCTGACGGCGCTGGAGACATTACACTTGACTCACAAGAAGAAGATAAAGAGTTGGAAAACTGAGTGGAGGCTCGCCTCTGCTCCACCAACGTTGGTGCCCTCGTATCATTGGAGAAAAACGCCAGCGCCGCACGTTGACAGCAATTGCTGTGGAATATTCTCTGCAAACCGTGAGAAGCACACCGCATTGTCGCCAACAGGAAATGTGTCCTCGCTGCCTTGCTCGCCAATAAACGCTTCACCACTGCACAAGAGTACCGATCAACGAATGATTGTGGTTGTTTTTTCTTTTTTTTCGCCTTGATGCGTGAGAAGGACAGAGAGAAACCAGTGCAATTTATATTTGCAAAAGAAAAAAATATCAGAGGTGGAGTTGTTTCTCCTCACACCTGCGAGCCACAGACAACAGAAGCCCCCGCTAAATAGAGGGGGGGGGGGGGGGGGGAAGACACATTGCATGTTCTTTTTTTATTCAAAGTTAAAATAATAATAATAATAATCAGCCAAAATAATGGCAGACAAACAAAAAGATAGAAAAACAAAGAAACACAAGCAATAAAAAAAAAACATAATAATAATAAAGTAGTGTATCGTGCATTGCGAAAGTATCCCTCGTCCTTTCTCTCTCCCTCTCAATTTTTATTTTTCCTTCAATCAATGACTTTGTATGGATTAAGAATTCCATTTGGATCCATCGTCCGTTTCAGGGTTCGCATCAGCGCAATGACCTCCGGTTTACGTGAAAGGCCGAGATACGCCTTCTTCTGCACCCCGACGCCATGCTCTGCCGAGATGGATCCGGCGTGTGCCGCGCAGAACTCATAAACAGCCGGGAACAGCACGGCGTCAAGTGCGTCACTGTGTTTTCGTGTTCGATCCACAACATTGAAGTGAATATTGCCATCCCCAAAGTGACCGTAGCCAACCACCAACACCTCGTCCGGGTCAAACCCCCCATTCTTGTAGATTATCTTGCGAAAGTGCAGCACAATGTCGTAAAACTTGTCAAGCGGAAAGCTGACGTCAAATTTGTAGATGGTCCCGGCACTAGCAAGCCGTACCGGGGTGTCCTCACGCAGATTCCACAGCTGAGCCGTCTGTGCAAGCGATTGTGAGAGGATGGGTTCAAATGATTCTCCCAAGTCACCTTTTGAAACACAGCGAGGGTTATACTCTGCGGCTTCCACAAAACGAGAGAGTTTTTCCATGTCGTGCTCGGCATTACTGCCATTTGTCTCTACCATAACACAGAAGTATGCACTGGTGAAATCCTGGCCGGCGCGAAACGTATCACTCTTGCTTGTTCGCGTAAAAGGCAGCTCCTCCTGTGGAGTGACTGAGAGAGATTCGCCATCCACCACTTCAAAAGCCGAAAGGCATTCAGCAAGATACTCCTGCGCCAAACGGTAAAGCTCTAGCACCGACTCGAACGTCGTGAGGCGAAACATG